GTGTGTGTGTGTGTGTGTGTGTGTGTGTGTGTGTGTGTGTGTGTGTGGAGGTAACAAATGGATTTAGAGCATTAACGGGAGTGTGCGATTCCCAGTGCCCGTCCTCTCACTCTAATTTAAACAATGTATTACTATGTGTTTGCTGTGGTATCACCTTGTGTATGCTGGCCTTTCAACACCAAACCCAGAGCGGACTGTTATTAAAGGCTAAAGCTGGAGATCTTCTGTCATTTATTTTTCTATCTAAAACCAAACACTGATGTTCTATGTCACACTTGTAAAAAATGTTCTAGTCCCAATATGACTTCCTAGTTAAATTAAGCCCACTGGGTCCTACTCAAGATGCAGATCTTTAAAAAAATCCATGTCTTACTTTTTAGCTAATATTAATAAATCCGGATTAAACGCGGTATTTGTGAGGGACTATTCTCCACATATTGTTGTTATCAGTAAATCGGCTGAAATCCGTATCCAGCAGCGGCTGCCAGCAATTGTGCTCCCATGATAATGGCCTGTCGGCCGGCCAGACGGAGGATTGTTTGTGTGTTTATTCAGGCATTTCTGCCCCCGTGCTGTAATGAAGGCCGTGTAAATAATAGAGAACCTCTTTGATATAGAGGTGCGGTCGGACGGTGAACACAGATATTGAGTCACAAAGGGCAGGTGTGGATGACTTCTATTGTAGGATTAATATAGTGGGGCGGCTGTTTATAGTCACTGCTGGGAAGAGTGTGGACACCTGATTAGGATTTTTATGGATTATTTATCAACACCCGGAAAGCCTCATGTAATCACAGCTTTTCTTGTCATGAAGGGAGGAATGTGGTACTAAAACATTGCATTTGTTGATGTTGGCCATCTGTTCACACAGAAAAGAGATTAGGTTTGAGACGGGAGGTTTTGTTTGGATAAAAGCAAAATTCCTCTCGTCTTTGAAATGTATGGAGGCTACAAAGATAATGTCAACGTCGCATGGAAACCGAAGTGACAAGCCCTGCTACAAGATCCTTGTTTATTAGTGTTAACTCGAGACCAGTTTACGAGTTTGTCGGTACAGTTTCTTTGGCAAACCCCCCCTACACACACGCATAACACACCTGTGATAGGTCCTGGTTATTTGGACTCTTGTTAGCTGTAGCTTTGAAAATACACACATCAAAAAGCTTTTCGTTTCCAAATGACAATTAATGCGAATTGGTTTTGCATTCAGTCTAATATGAGCCACCTTTTGTAACCGTGTCTGCAGTGGTTGTTAGTGCAAAGTCCTTTACTATGAAGTGTTATGATATTTAGTCTGTCTCCTGTTGTTTTGTGCACATAGAGGAACAAGCGTACCTCCCGTGTGCAAAAGAGTAGACCTAATGGT